CAAAAAAAAAAAAAAAAAAAACGGCATTTTTTCCTTTCTGCAACCTACTCCTACTCTAAGTTGTAAAGATACTTCTTTTCTAATTCTCTGCAGTTTGAGCACCGAAGGTTCACAATTGCTTCTTGCATCACCTTCGGCACTCAGTGGGATTGGACAGTCTTTTTTTCGAATTTTGATTTATTTCTTAATCAAAAATTTTTTTTTCTTTTTTCTTTTTTTGATTAGGGAACTGTTCAATTTGGGATCTGTCCGATCCTTCCCACCTGTGTGCTGCCTACCTGTTCTTTCCCCTCCAGTCCAAATACTGGGCCAGTCTATCTGATTGGCCCATAGGTGACTCTTCAGAGCAGTGCATGCCACCACTCACTCGATCACAGACCAAGACCATGGACCGGAAGGAGGGAGAATCCCTCCTGGCCTATGAGGAACGCCTGGCTGCTTTCATCCAGGAGGCCAATGATAGGGCTGCCGCCGCGGCCAAGGAACGTGGTCGGATTGAGCAAGAAGAGGAGGCCGAGTGACAGAAGGAAGAACATGACCGACTTCGTCAAGAGGAGGCAGACCTGCAGGCGACAGCCGAACACCGGTCACGCCAGCGGGAACAACTGTTCACGCGGGAGACCGCGATCGGCGATGAGGCCGCACATTGGGTGGAAGTGGCATATGCAGACGGGGCCCCGGAGACTGAGAAAGGGCTGTCATCCCTTGTGCAGGTCTCCCACGACCTCGTGGCCACCTGCACTCTGCAGCAGGAGGAAATCCTTCACCTGCAGCAGACAGTGGACCAGATGCTCGCACGGCTGCAGGCGTTGGAGAAACAGCCAGCTGCTGTAGCAGCCGCAGGGCCTTCAAACCTTGCCACCCGTGTTCAAGTTTTGGAGGATGACGTCAACAATATCAAGTGTGTGCATCAGGACTTCAGGACGTCGCAGCAAGCAACAAACTTGCAATTGGAGACGCAGGTCCAGGCTGCTGCCACCGTGACACCCGCCGCCGCATCCTCTCGGCGCCCACCCAAACTGGATGACATTCCAGTTTTCTGTGATCAGTCCAAGACAGAACCGATCCTGTGGTGGCGCTTGTTTACTCTCAGGCTCGATATGCACCATGTCTCGAACAACGATCGACATCCGTGCTTGTACCACCGATCTGGTGGTGCGTGTCAAGCATGGCTGGACAACATCTTGACCAGCCACGGCATAGCAATGTCGGAACTGCACACCAAGCTCACTTGGCAGGAGTTGACTGACGCCTGGCACAAGCGATTCCAAGTGGAGCCGCCCGACCTACAAGCAATGGACAAGCTCAACAAGCTCCATCAGAACAGGCTGCTCAGTCAGGACTGGATTACCGAGTTCCAAAGACTCGCCTCCACACCTGACCTGCCGCTCGCATTCCGCGCCATCAAGCACTTGTTTATCATGCGCTCGTGTCCAGCTCTGCAAAACACGCTGCCGCAGATTGCAGAGACACTCGACACATCTGACAAGCTTTTCACCACAGCGTCACGGATCATTCTCACGAATATCGAAGCCCGCAACGCCGGCCAATCTTCCGCGACGACGAGCGGCACCCAGCCCAAGCCAAAGGTGGCTTGCATTACTTCTACCGAGGCTGCAACACCAAACGAGGGTGAAGTGTTGGCAGCTGCCCAGGATGGTGGCCGACCGCGCAACAATCACGGCCGCGACAAGACGAAGACTCAGTCCACCTCTACACCGAGCATCGGATCAGCCGCCGATGAACCTTGGGCACAATACGGACTCTCGG